GTGGCAGGTGCTCTTGCGCTTGCGGTTGATGTAGGTGGTGAAGTCCTCGGTGACGTAGTTGGAGAAATAATCGGCGTTCTTCATCTGGGGACAGCAGGGACAGTGTGATGGGGACAGTGGGGACACACTGGGGACAGTGGGGATGTGATGGGGACAGTGGGCACAGTGTGATGGGGACAGTGGGGACACATTGGGGACAGTGGGGATGTGATGGGGACAGCGGGGACAGTGTGATGGGGACAGCGGGGAGGGGACAGTGGGGACAGCAAAGACAGCGGGGACAGCAGGGTGGGGATGGTGGGGACAGTGTGGTGGGGACATTAGGGACAGTGAGGACAGTGTGATGGGGACAGTGTGGTGGGGACAGTGTGGTGGGGACAGTGCGGACAGCAGGGTGGGGATGGTGGGGATGTGGTGGGGACAGTGGGGTGGGGACAGCAGGGACAGCGGGGACAGCAGGGTAGGGACAGTGGGGACGTGATGGGGACAGCAGAGACAGTGTGGTGGGGACAGTGTGGGGACAGTGTGGTGGGGACAGCGGGGACAGTGTGGTGGGGACAGCAGGGACGTGGTGGAGGCAGCGGGGACAGTGTGGCAGGGACAGCGGGGTAGGGATGGTGGGGACAGTGTGGTGGGGACATTAGGGACAGTGAGGACAGTGTGATGGGGACAGTGTGGTGGGGACAGTGGGGACACCGGGATGGGGACGGGGGGAGGAGAGCAGGGACATTGGGAATGGGAGCAGGGAACACTGGGGACACTGGGAGAGCCCTGGGGACACTGGGGACAGGAGCAGGGGACACTGGGGACACCAGGAATGGGAGCAGAGGACACCAGGGACACTGGGAGAGCCCAGGGGACACTGGGGGACATTGGGGACAGGAGAAGGGACACTGGGGACATCAGGAGAGGCTTGGGGACACTGAGGGAAGCAGAGGGTACAGCAGCCTGGTCCCTCCCAGTGTTCTGAGCACTCTCCCAGTCCATCCCAGTCCCTCCCAGTCCATCCCAATGCCCCCCCAGTCCATCCCAGTCCCTCCCAGTGCCCTCCCAGTGCCCTCCCAGCTCACCCCAAGCACCCCAAGCTCCTTCCAATCCCTCCCCAGAGGCTCCCAGTATAACTCCCACCACTCCAGCCCCCTCCCAGTTGCTCCCAGTTGCTCCCAGTTCCTCACCAGATAATCCATGCAGTGTTTCCGCACCACCTCGTGCATGTCCTGGTCTCCGTACACCTGATCAGCTGAGGGAGGGGACACGAAGGGGACNGTGGCAGGTGCTCTTGCGCTTGCGGTTGATGTAGGTGGTGAAGTCCTCGGTGACGTAGTTGGAGAAATAATCGGCGTTCTTCATCTGGGGACAGCGGGGACAGTGTGATGGGGACAGCACAGAGGGGACAGTGGGGACAGTGGGGACAGCGGGGACAGTGTGATGGGGACAGCACAGAAGGGACAGTGGGGACACATTGGGGACAGCGGGGACAGTATGACGGGGACAGTGGGGACACATTGGGGACAGTGGGGATGTGATGGGGACAGCGGGGACAGTGTGATGGGGACAGTGGGGACAGTGTGATGGGGACAGTGGGGAGGGGACAGTGGGGACAGCAGGATGGGGATGGTGGGGACAGCGGGGACAGCAGGGTGGGGACAGTGGGGACACATTGGGGACAGTGGGGATGTGATGGGAACAGCAGGGACAGTGTGGTGGGGACAGCGGGGAGGGGACAATGGGGACAGCAGGGACAGTGGGGACAGCAGGATGGGGATGGTGGGGACAGTGGGGACATTAGGGACAGTAGGGACAGTAGGGACAGTGGGGACAGTGGGGTGGGGATGGTGGGGATGTGGTGGGGACAGCGGGGACATTAGGGACAGCGGGGACAGTGTGGTGGGGATGGTGGGGTGGGGACACGGGGGACAGTTTGGGGACAGTGGGGACACATCGGGGAGAGTGGGGATGATGGGGACAGTGGAGACAGCGGGATGGGGATAGTGGGGACACATTGGGGATAGCAGGATGGGGACAGTAGGGACAGTGGGGTGGGGACAGCGGGGACCGTGGGGACAGTGTGGTGGGAACAACAGGAATGGCAAGGACAGTGGGGACAACAGGGACAATGGGGGACAGCAGGATGGGGACAGCGGGGACACATTGGGGACAGCATGGGGACAGCATACCCAACAGCGGGGATGGCAGGGACAGTGGGGACAATGGGGGACAGCAGGGACGCAGTGGGGACAGCACGTGGGGAGAGCAGGTCGGGGACAGGGACAGTGGGGACAGGAGCGGGGGACACTGGAGACACTGAGGACACAGGGGACAGGACTGGGAGAGCCCTGGGGACACTGGGGACAGGAGAGGGAGACACTGGGGACATTGGGAGAGCCCTGGGGACACGGGGGGAAGTGGCAGGAAACAGCAGCCTGGTCCCTCCAGTGTTCTGAGCACCCTCCCAGTCCATCCCAGTCCATCCCAGTTCATCCCTGAGCACCTCAGACTCTTCCCAGTCACTCCCAGTATAAATCACACCACCCAGAACCCCTCCAGTTCCATCCCAGTGCCTCCCAGTCCATCCCTGAGCTCCCCAGGCTCTTTCCAACAGCTCACCAGTAGCTCCCAGTATAACTCAGACCACTCCAGCCCCCTCCCAGTTCCTCCCAGTTCCTCCCAGTTGCTCACCAGATAATCCATGCAGTGTTTCCGCACCACCTCGTGCATGTCCTGGTC